ACCTCGTTCGAGCCGACCCATCCTCCATACCACGTAGCTCTACCACGTAAAATTATAGTTATTTAGTTTGCTGAAGCACCTGTCATCAAAATCTCCCAAAATCTGAACAATGTGACGCATTTACATGTTGTGAAGATATTTTTAAACGTATTAATTTTATTACTTGACATTGGCAAAAGTATAACCATACGAGTCCAAAAAGTATTAATCTATGTTATTTAAAAATGAATAAAACAATATAATGTTCCTATTTTCTTAAAACTACGCACGTACCCTAGGCATTACAGTACGTTTGCACTGAGAAACATCCAACATGTAATGTTTTGAAACAAATTGCATAAAATAAATCACATAACATGTTTTGTTGATGGTGGCGTTCGCACTCACAAAAACCTGTGTAAAGCTTTTAACAGATATTCAAACTTATCTTTCAAATTGACAATAGTTCTACAAATTTGTTTTCAAACATTTTGTTTCTGTAGTTATAAATATATAATATATTACAATATGTAATGTACAATAAACTGTCAAACATATTTCAATACAATATGTTCTTTGACTATGCAAACACTTTTTGATACATGGATATAAAACAGTGTTTAAAACACGTTTTTTGTGACAATCGCGTCAGTGCAAACTCACGGTTATAAAAACAGAATAACTCACGCACTGCGCGAGACTTAAATGCATACTGTTGCAGGGTTGTCACTGTCTTATTGTTTGTAACAGCTAAGTCTCATTTAGTTTTATAAGTAGTTGTAAAAAAATCCATCTTTACGCTACAACAAATGCCAAATAACTAAAATACGAATAAATTAACACTGAGCATATGGTGACAGCTCAGATTTAATGTTTGAAATTCATTTGATCTGAAGTAATATGATAATTAATGTACTTATGAGGTATGTATCTATGTATAGATATAGGAATATAACTTTTAATAAAAAGCTAATTTACATAAAAAACGCATATATTAGTTTATTTTACAAAAAGAGAAAATAAAACGAAAAACATACTGCTAGCAAAATTTTATTGAAAGTCAACAAAGTCTCAAACAAAGGGGATTGCCGAGTGTGGCAGAGGGCGTCCCCGACTCGGCTCGATCTTCCCAACTTAGCAAGTGTCGTTGTGTGCACGCTGTGGTTCGTGCATACAAGTCCATACTGTAATGTCCCAACCACGCACATATATTAGCGATTCGGTACATTTATTATAAGATAGCCTACTATTCTGTTTTTACTATGACCTTGGCAAGTGTGTACGTACGTGCGTGCGTGCATGTATGTTTATTATGTAAGTACTGCATTATTTAAAATTAAGTCGTAAGCTGCCCGGGGCCAAGGTTTCCCTGGCCCCCTTAGCTACGCCACTTGCTATAATTAAGGCATTCGACCTCTTAAGCTAGCACCGTTAGTACTAATAATTTTAATCTAATATACCTAAGTCTTGTTTTTCCAAGTTAATCTTCTTTCGTTTTAAACTTGTGAGATTAGTGCACTGGCTTCCATATTACGTGATTGGATTTAATATAATATGCAACTATTCATTATATTTGTACTTTAGAAAAGACATGTTTTGTAAGTTATGATTGAGTAAGGTGTTGGAGGTATTATTTATTACACGTTTTGTAGATAGTTTGGTGACTCGTTGGTGATCGGTAACTTTTTATAAATTTAGTTGTCATATATAAATGATTGCTGTTTATGTTTAAAATATCCTTGAAGGATCATCAGAAAAATATGATTATCCCCTGTAAAAAAAGGTAAGTCATTAATATAGATTAGAAATAGAAACGGTCCGAGAATTGAGCCCTGAGAAATACGTATAAGTAAAGGTGACTCCGAAGATCTTTCTGTTTATTACTTAAGTAGGAAATAATAAGTTTAAGTTCTTTACACTATAGTACTGTAATCTTCTGATAAATTTTTCATGGTGAATTTGGAAAGGTCACAAAATACGAGTATACCCAAAGAGTCCTCCGAATTCTCCCATGTACAAAAATCGGCGTCAGTTGTCGGACAACCCTTTGTAAAACCAAATTGATTTGATCAGTTCTTTTAAAAAATTAACTATTTTTTATGGGATAAGGTTGATAAACGAGCACACAGTCCAACTGATAGTAAGTGGTAGCTGTGGCCCATATACATCTACATCTATCAAAATTCAGATGCGTTGTCACCCGTGAGTATTAAGATGGAATGCCTCGTTTCCAGTAAAAAGGGTCTCCGGTTCTCTACACTCACCATACGAAACACAGCAGCGTTGAGCTGCTATTTTACGCTGGTATTCTGTGAGAGCGTGAACATATTCGAGCTACAACTATACTACTAATATACCTGCAGCATAGCTCTACCACGTAAAAAAATAATAAACTAAATGTTCATGTTCAAATGTCAGTTCTATATTCTCAACTTCATTTCATTGGCACTGATACCATGATACTTTGGTTTCCAGTTCTAAAACCTGTGAAGCGCTGTCCTATAGCCATCGCTCGCGCGATCATGCGCTGCTCCGGCGAAAATGATCGTGCGACCGTGCGTTTAAACATACTCATATCTGTGGAATGTCCTATTGAACGTCGTGCGACCATGCGATGCGACTGATGAAATCGCGCGTGCGGATTCATTGGACGATGAAATCGTGTCGCATCACCGTGCGAGCGATGCTAATAGAACAGCACCAAATCTTCTCTTATATATAAAATTAATTGCATTCTCGCAGTTAGTCTCGCCAAAAATTGGAAAAGGGCTGGACCGGTTTTGATTTATTTGTGTGTGTTTGAGTCCCCGGATAATCTAAACGATTCATAATTGGCCCCGGTAGGTTTTGTTGTTGTCGAGATCTAGAAGTCACCCGTACGAAGCTTATAATTTAATAATATTTTATTTATTTATTTATTTACCTTCACAACATAAGTGACAGTATAAAGAACACAGGTAGCTGCGGGTCCTAAACTAAGCGCAGCTTAAATCTCAGGACCCTGGCATGCCATACAAAGCGGTTTGTCACTGGACCTCATTTACATCGAGATATGTTATACGATAGTGTTAATAATACGTGCTTGTTATCGGCCTTTACAAGTAATGCTTCTAATACAAAAACTAAGGAAGTATTGTTTTACTACATAAATAAGTTTAAAATAAATAATTTAAATTATTAATTTTGAAAACATGACTATAAGTAATAGATTATTTCTGAGTTGAGTTTACAAATTTGATATTTTTATTCCTTATATTTTTTTAATAAAACTGAAAAGGCAACAAACTCTCAGTCCACCTGATTGTGACTAATAGTCAATAGACACTCGTAATCAACTTCAAACAAAGAAGGTTGCACATGCGGTTTCTCCTCTGAAGACTATAATAATAATAATAATAATGTCCTCCAGACCGAATTTCGGTCACGGCGGCCTGCCTTGACGGAGACTTGCTATGGGCGCATGACAGGATTATAGTGCCCAAGTGTATGCGCAAGCACAAGTGCACTCTCTATTCCCTCACTCTCATAATCCGATGGGACGGTAAACCTACACGACCAGAAAGAGATCAGGTGCAGGACCAATGAATGATTTTATTCAATATGGATTATTGTATAATACTTATTCAACTCATTTTTTAATTTAACACTGGTTCGCAAAAAACATCTGTCCAGGGAAGAACCAGCAAGAAACCCAGCGGGACTTTTTTTTAAACATACATATTCAAATTTACAATAAATTTATTTTGTTACTATTTTTGTATGAATTTTATAGAACCAGTATGGTGGCGATCACCTCATTTCCAGGAGTTATTTTCATTCATGTATTCATTTATATTATAATAACCCTTTTGTACAATTTTTCTTTTATAAAACATTTAAACTTCTTTAATGACAAATTTTGTACATTTTCTGGGAATTTGTTGTAAAAGCGTATACATTGCCCCCATAAAGGAATTACTAATTCTGTGGAGTCTAGTAACTGGAACAAGGTTACAAGGTTATGTTTGTTCCTAGTGTTTAAAGTATGAAGTACTATATAACTACTACTATATAATATATAAGGTATTGAGAATTTCTTGACAGAAACTCAATCATTGATTTTTTGGCCCGACCCGGGATTCGAACCCGGGACCTCATGATCAGCTGTCGCACTATTACAACCACTAAGCCAGCGAGGTAGTCAAATAATTATGCTAGATCTCTCTAGCCTTCAGACCGGAGAACAACCATGCAGGCACTGATAATTGGCGGCCGAAATATATTATGGGGTAACTTCCTAGATGGGCTCTAGGCTGAAAAGTCGTCATACCGCCCACTAAATAGTTACACTCATGAGACCAAAATAAAGAAAAAATAAATTGTACGAATATGAGAAATATACTCAAGGTCCTACTCCTATCAGTGCTCAGGGGACCAATATCCCCATCACAACAGAGTTTAATTACAGACCTTTAAAATACAATAGAGAAGTTGCATTTTTTTAAAGTTTAGTAAATATTAATACGAAAAATTAAAAAAAATATTTAACATAAAATTTTATGATTAAAAATAGTTTTTCTAAGATGTAAATTCAAATGCCAATGACGTCATTATATCGCTGTAGTAACGCCACCGCATAGTGAAATGAAAAACACTTATGTTTACGTTGTAGAAATAAAAAAAAATCATCGAATAATACAGATTAAATATTTTAAATTATGACACGTAGTGATCGGAATATAGAAAACACAAAAGTATAGCATGATTGCAATTGGCTCACAGCCTCAACGGATATAATGACGTCACAACCAATCACAAGTCGTTTTATTCATTCAAAAATTTAGTTATTTTTTATTAACAATTGCTAAAAAGTGAAATTGTTAATGAAAAAAATTACTTAAAATACTTTAAATGAATTATTCTTTTATTTATTTATAAATTTGTGGCAAAAATACATAAAACTTATATATTGTTTCAATATACAAAATAAATAAGAGTTTTGACATCTTATTATGTAATTCTATTCCTTCTTTTAATAGATTTTATACTTCACAATAAGTCTGATTTGTCCGTTTGTACATCAAATATCCAAATAATACTAGAATGAAATTAAAGAACAGTGTCAACAACTCAAATTGCTTCAAAATATTAATACTTCTCCACAAAGCTTCATACTTCTTTTGAAAGTTATCGATAGGTTTCACTACTGAAGACTTTTGCCCAGCATCTTCTCTTTCTAAAAGTTTACATTTTAATCTTTTTTCATTTACTTCTATGCTTGGATTTCGCCAAAGTTCTCCCACTTGTTTATGCGAGAGTTTATATTCTTGGATTATGCTAGAAGCGACCAGAAATCTTTCAACAACAATAACATTTGGATCAAATCCTGGCAAAACGGTAACTGTAATTGTTTGTGATGAATTCGGTGCTAAAACACCAGTACTAGGCTTCACTCTGAATTTTTCTGGGCCAGTTGTACGGATCTTAAACGCTAAATATGTATTGTCTATATTTGTTACGGTGAATTCTGATTTAACGTCATTTTTATCGTTTCGGAATGTCAGAAAATCGTTTGGAACTATCTGCAAGTATTCTCTACTGCTTTGTTCATTCGTTTCATCGGCAAAGGTAACCTTTTTGGGTATATTGTTGATTTTTTCAGGAACGAATTGAAAAACATAATCATCATATCCACCCCAACATTTTAACGCTTGTTTAGGATGCACGAACTCTGTGAGTTGGTCTTTATTGATAACTCTAAGTCTTTCAACAGCTCTTGCCGGCAGGAAACCTTTGACTATCCTGAACCCCGCTGACATTATCCACGGCATTTGATAAATTATAATATTGTTTACAAATTTCGGATAGTAACTCTTTAATAAAGATATCATGTAGGTCACAATCTCAACGTCTACGTTGTTCAGTCCGCAACCATCCAAGTCAAAAAACAATGTTATTGGTCTCCCATCTTCCTCTCTTTCCAGTCTTTCCAGCCAGTACACAATGACCTTCTTTAGATCTTCTACATTTTTCTGCCCTTTGTTATACAATTTCCACTTCATTATAAACAAAAGGCAAGCGTCGACGTCTCTTCCATGAGGGAAAAACAACCCCTTTTTCACATAATCCATTCTGACTGTATCTCTGATGTCCCAAGCGTTGACATTACAACGCCAGATCATAATTGACCAAAGCATTTTAACTGCAGCGTCCGTTTTACCTTCACAATGTTCTAATATCCTTCTCAGGTATTTATTATCCTTCAGCCTTTCTAAATCTCTCGGATCAAATTTCCCTGGCGGGTCGGGAATGCCGTCTTTCAGTTTATCTTTGAACAAAGATCGTAGCTCTTCCAATTTGTTCATGGTATCCAATATGCAATTGCTATTTAAATTAGTTTTTGGATTATCTTAATTCCGTTAACAAATATTCGTATTCTACTAAGTTCAAATATCACTTTGTTTTAAGCCATCTCTATCTTAATAGAATTACTTTCCTTATCTTGTTTTGCTTTGCGTGTTGATGATAAATCAAATTAATCCATCATTCAGGATACAAATCAACAATTCTTCCCACTCATAGATTTCCTAGGTTACATCGAACGTAATTCAGCCTTCAGTACTTCACTTGGGACGGTTCTTTCAACTTCACTTTCACTTTCATAATATTGATTCCTATTTTAAAAACCTTATCTAAATGTATCTGAATTCTAAACTACTCTGCTCTCTGCTCCGATTTATTCACTAGTATTTGAATTTTAAGAACTGCAACTCGATAGAAAAAAATGGCCAATTTCTACATAAGTAAATTGATTGTTTATAAACTTTGTTGTGTTTCAATACAAAGATAACAGGCTATATCGTAATGAAATCACGAATGACGATTCTAATTCGCAACTTTGTACTTACTTTGTAATTATCATTATCAAATTATCGCAAGCTTATCAGGTAGTTGATGGTTATACTTTTGAATTACGACACCGTCTAGTTTTTACATTAAATAATGTTAAAATCAATTCGGTAAGATTTACATAAAAAATAAAAATGTGTCTTACCTTGTTTGAAGAGCTTGGCAAGGGAATTATAATTTATATTACATTAATATATTTCGTGAATGTATACAAAAACTTATTTTTAGGGAAGTTTTTGACACACACACACACACACACACACACACACACACACACACACACACACACACACACACGTACACGCACACGCACACGCACACGCACACGTTCACGCACACGCACACGCACACATACACGCACACGCACACACACACGCACACGCACGCGCACACGCACACGCACACGCACACGTACACGCACACGCACACGCACACGCACACGCACACACACACGCACACGCACACGCACACGCACACGCACACGCACACGCACACGCACACGCACACGCACACGCACACGTTCACGCACACGCACACATACACGTACACGCACACGCACACGCACTCGCACACGCACACGCACACGCATACGCACACGCACACGTTACACGCACACGCACACGTTCACGCACACGCACACGCAAACGCACACGCACACGCACACGCATACGCATACCGCAATCCGGATTCTTCGAAATTCGAAAAAAATGAAAAATCGGATCGAACGGATTTTCCAGAGTTTTATAAATCCGGTTTTTAAGATTCAAATCCGGTGTTTTCGGATTTTAGTGACAATTGAGTTCAATGGATAATATTTTACATATATCCACAAATTTTTATTCTAAGTAATGAATAGGTAGATGTTACCTACTCTAATACGCTAATACGTTCAGTTTATGAATGTGTTTTGTTGTTTATTTTTATCATCACCACCATCACTACAGTCCTTCACAAGTCCACTGCTGAGCCACCTGCATCCATCGACTTCCACATGTCTTACCAGGTCCGTCACTCCATCTAGTGTGGGGTCACCCTACACTACGCCTACCGGTACGAAGCTGCCACTTGAGAACCATTTTTCCCCATCGCTTATCGGTTCTTCGAGCTATATAGCTGGTCCGTTGCCACTTCAACTTACTAATTTGTTCGTTGGGCTATGTCGGTCACTCTGGTTTTACTGCGGATATCCTCATTTCTAAGTTTATCACGCAAAGAAACCCCGAGCATAGCCCTTTCCATAGCTCGATGAGCGACCTTGAGTGTCCTTATACGGACAGCAGTGAAGGACCGCGTTTCAGACCCATAAGTAACCACTGGCAACACGCATTGGTTGTGCAGTCTCGTTTTTAGGTTTTGAGGTACGAGTATACCTGACAAGAAGATGTGTTGTAATTTTCCGAACGCTGCCTAGCCGAGTTGAATCCGTCGATTAACCTCTCGGTCAAAGTTGGACTTACCTAGTCAGACTATTTGTCCCAGGTAAACTCACTCGTCAACAACTTCGAGATTAGTGCTCCCAACAACTACCGGCATAGGTGTGACATGGACATTAAACAGGAACTTTGTTTTGTCCCTGTTCATCTTAAGACCTATCTGTTGGCAGACACTATTGAGTTCATTGAGCATAGTGCTTAGGTCCTCCAGCGATTCTGCCATAAGGACTATATCGTCGGCAAATCGAAGGTGAGTGATGTACTTGCCATTGATGTTAATACCGTATCCTTTACAGTCCAATAGCTTAAAAACGTCTTCAATACAGCGGTGAAGAGTTTCGGGGATATAACGTCACCCTGTCTTACATCTCTCTGCAGTTAGATAGGTTTCGAACGCTGGTTCTGTACTTCGATATACCGACAGTCAACTTGGCACCACTGCAGGGCTTTCTCATAGTTCACATACGCCAGGCAAAGTGGCAGATTGTACTCTTCGGTCTTCTGTAATCTGCCGTAGGATATGTATGTGGTCTATGGTACTGAAGCCTTTTCGGAAATCGGCTTGCTCGGGAGCCTGGAAGTCGTCGAGTCTGCGTGCGAGACGATTCGTAATAACTCTCGAAAACAGCACGTAGACGCGGCTCAGAATGGAAATTGGTCTGTAGTTCTTCAAGAGAGCGTTGTCACCTCTCTTGAAGAACAAGGCCACCGTACTTTTGCTCCACACGTCCGTAGTGCCACAATGGAGGACGAAATTAAAGAGCTTTTGAAGGACTTCAAGTACCGATTTTCCATCCGCTTTCAGATGCTCCGCTGTAATTCAAATCTTGCCTGGGACTTTGTCGTTTTTAAGGTGCTGGAGAGCCATTCTAATCTCGCTCAGACTGACGTCCTATATATTTGATAAGACTTGCTCTTGGATCGTTACTCACACTTGCGTGTGGCTCCAACGATAATGTGTATAGTTGCCCATAGAACCTCTGAAACTCACTCAAAATCTCAGGTGTCCCGAAAACAATGCTGCCATACTCAGTCTTCAGCCTTGACAGTTGGCTCTTTCTGACAGACAGACCTCTGGCAAAGACTTTGGAGCCCTTGTTCCCTTCGATCGCTTCTTCAATACGAGCTGTATTGAAGTTGCGTTAGTCCCGCCGCATGCATTTGGAGATCTGTCTGTTCAGTTCAAATCTGCTGACGACAGCAGCTTCATCTCCTCTCTAACATCCATGAAATTAAGAGTGTGATCGGAGAGTTTTTGTGTACTTCTGCGGCTGGTCTTGCAGAAATTAGCTCCGACTGCATAGACAGTTTCCACGAGCTTGTCATTCATATTGTCCACTGCATTGCAATCTTCTAGCCACTGAAAACGGTTTTGTAACTCCAGCTGAAAGTTTTCGGGATTTTAGATTAGAACACGAGGTGACTGAGTGTTGACTTCGTTAGACGATACCTCTCCAACTTAACGTTTAGGTTCAGTGTGCCTCTAACCATTCAGTGATCGCTGCCAACGGTTACCGTCTAGTCGTCATATTGAAGTCAATCTCATTTTTTGTCGAACCGTCGGGCCTCGACCAGGTCCACTTTCTGTGGGGTCGCTTCTGAAAGAAAAAGAATCCCTCTTTATCCTTGAAGTCGGCCATCTGCTGTGCCCTTGGGTTCCGTTGCCTTATCCCAAATTTCCCTACCTTCAGCTCACCGATTTTTCTTGTTTTCTTCTCTTCCATTAACACCTTGGGTTTTGAAGGAATGCATGGTTTTAGAAATATCGTCATGCATTTCCTCCACTTCCTCATTGGGATGGGCCGACGTTGGTGCGTAAGCCTGTATGACCTTCAGCGAATACCGTTTGGTGATTCTGAGTATAAGGTACGCAACCCTCGTCAACACACTCCCAATCTTTATAAAGTTGTTAACGAGAGACTTGTGGACGATAAATCCAACACCTCCTTGGGACAGATTGTAATCCTCTCGGTGATAGAACGAGTTGCCGGATTCGAGAATCACCGTGTACTCCCCCCTCTTTTCGCACCTCGGATAGTCCTATAATATTCCAACACAACTTGTCTATCTCTTCTTCCAGCTCCAGGATCTTCTCGTCAGTCCTCAGGTTGCGTGCGTTGTAATTTGTCAGGTCGAGTCGTTTTAGGTAGAAACTGAACCTCCACTGGAGATTCTTAGCACCCCCTGCCCTGCCGTTACCATGGTCTGAGGGCCGTCTATTTGCGTCGTTGCTCATGTGGGGTATATTGCCATAGTTGCCACGCTTGGTGAACGGGTTGGTAACTGTAGTTTTTTGTTACTTTTATCAGGAAGATGCTGCTGCCCATCTTCTGCCTTCTTCCTTCTGTGGGCTTTTACGACACGCACGGGAAGATGTGGGATAGTGGATATTCTTAACCGCCACTACACGGTTTTTGTTTTATTTGGTTGATTTTATTCCGTCGTGTCAGAATAAATGCAGATTTTAAATGATTTATGCTGTTTTATTTCAGTTTTATCAAATCACCCTAAAACTTCGAAAAATCCGGATTATAGGAAAATTCAAAAATTCGGATTTCAAAAAAATCCGGATTTTGCAATCTTTACATACACATACACATACACATACACACACATACACACACATACACATACACATACACACACACATACACACACACATACACACACACACATACACACATACACATACACATACACATACACATACACATACACTTATACATACACATATACATACCTACATATACATACACATATACATACATACACTCACATACATACATCCGTACGGACGTCTACGTGAAGTAGTCAGAATAGCTTCCTGAGATCTCAAAACTTCGAGATATGATGAAAACTCGATTTTCGAAAATCGGCGTGAAACCAATAACTTCTCTATTTTTGAAATTGCTAATGCCTTTAATGAGTATCATGAAATCCAGACAAGGACACGCTTAGATAACATAAAAGGCCCGTACAAAAGCATGTTTTACGTCCAATTACTCTGAAGGAGACAAAGGCAT